AAAAAACGAGTTGGTTATCGATTTGGCGTTCGCCCACGCGCACCGTAACGCCCGCCGCCTCCTGGTTCCGTTCGTGACCGTTACCCAGTTCTTTGCCGCTCTCCGCGTCGACGCGTTGTCTATCGTACCTACGTTTTTTTTTTTTTTTTTTTTTTCGTACTTGGGTAATATTTTCGCGAATCGCGAACGCCGTCCTTATCAATCGCGCGTGATTTCGCGGCGTATCTGTTATCGCACCGCCACTCGACAACCTATCGTAATAAATAATAATTATCATTATTAGTTATTACTATTACTATTATTATTATTAATTTTTCACGATCGTGTCAGCAGCAGTGCTCGTGCGGCGTGCGACCGCGTCGACCCTGTCCGTGAACGGATGATCGTCTGAAGACCCGTTAAAATAACAATATCGTCTTCGCCGGTCCACGACGATCCCTTTCGTTACACGCGAACATTGCACTCGCGTCCTACCTGTTGTTGTGGTTACACGTAAGTACGCGCGCGAAACGTTCGTCCGGCCAAAACATCGGTATTCGACGATTGTGTATTACGATCGATTGATTTGTTTTTTTCCGTTTAGTGACCAGCCTTCCGTCATCGTTATGTGGTCGAAAATATTTAAAGCCAGCAATCACGGACTCGTCCGCGGCGTGGCCATATATTCGATCACCTGGCCGGTGAGCAGCATGATACAACAGACGCTAGATCCGTCCGGCAACAAAACCATTGATTTACAACGAGCCGCAAAGTTCAGCATGTATGGTGGACTCTTCGTAGCACCCACTTTGTACGCGTGGATGAGATTTGCCAGTTACGTTTGGCCTTCAATGACAATTACCAGTCATATAACTAAGGTCAGCAATCTGTGTTTGATAATTATTATAATTATCATCATAATTATTAATAAGCATAATTAAAAGTGATGTGATCGTTTAAACTGTAACTTTATTTAAATATTACCTATATTAATTTTCAACATTATCAATAATAAATTACTTGATAATATGAGGTATATTTCAGTTACTAAGTTTAAAAAATGTAATTATAAAATTAATTTAATTGTAGATTTATCTGAGTTTTTCTTAAAAAAAAATCATTACTCATTTTAATTAAATATACGTTTAATAAATTGCAGATAATTAAGATACTAAACAATGCAATTTTATTATTTATACTAATTATTTTACTTTTAAATATGTATCTAGTAATTTTATTTAAAAGTGATTCATTAAAATTTGTTAAGTGCTTAGGATTTAAAAAAATCTGTAGTTGGATACATAGGTATTATAGGTGTGGTTATGTATTCTCAGTTTCTATGTAGATCCTAATTAAATAATTATTATTTTACTAAATATAAGAATTTATGTTTTAAGTTTTAATTAAAATATTAAATTATCATGAAGTTTATTAATTAAAAAATAAACTTATATTATCATTACTTGCTAAAATATTTATGTATAGAAGCAGTGTTAATAAGTTTTGACTATTTCAACATAATAATTCTCATAATTTCTGATTATCAATTTATCTGAATATCAAAAACTATTTGTGAAATACATACATTTCACAAATAGTTTTTGATATTGTACCTACTCTGATGATGAGAAAAAAAAATTTAAGAACATTCTTTATTACAGGTACCTTTATTTTACTAGGTGG